GGTAATGGCTTGTAGAAACTCGTGTTGGAGAGCTGCCGAGCAGCCTCTTGTTCATATTTCGACCTATTCATGATGACAACAGCACCTCCTTTGTCAGCCTTTTTGATTATGATGTCAGAGTTGTTTCTGAGGCTGTGGATGGCATTGTGTTCCGCATGGCTGAGGTTATGGGGCAAGTGATGCTGCTTTTCCACAATTTCAGCCCGTGCACGTCGGCGGAAGCACTCTATGTAGAAGTCCAGTCTGCTGTTTTGACCTTCGACTTCTACATAGAGTGCTTCCACATCCCGATGAGTCGAAAGAATAGTAAATATGGCAGGCGACCAGCTTGGCTTAATGGTGAAATCTTAGCGGATCTTAAACATAAAAAAGAAGCTTACAAGAAGTGGAAGGTTGGACATATGACCAGGGAAGAGTATAAAAATATTGCTCGGGCATGTAGGAATGTTATCAGGAGGGCCAAATCGCACCTGGAGCTGCAGCTAGCCAGAGATGTCAAGAGTAACAAGAAGGGTTTCTTCAGGTATGTTGGCAACAAGAAGAAAGCCAAGGAAAGTGTGGGCCCCTTACTGAATGAGGGAGGCAACCTAGTGACAGAGGATGTGGAAAAAGCTAATGTACTCAATGCTTTTTTTGCCTCTGTTTTCACTAACAAGGTCAGCTCCCAGACTGCTGCGCTGGGCATCACAAAATGGGGAAGAGATGGCCAGCCCTCTGTGGAGATAGAGGTGGTTAGGGACTATTTAGAAAAGCTGGACGTGCACAAGTCCATGGGGCCGGACGAGTTGCATCCGAGAGTGCTGAAGGAATTGGCGGCTGTGATTGCAGAGCCATTGGCCATTATCTTTGAAAACTCGTGGCGAACCGGGGAAGTCCCGGATGACTGGAAAAAGGCTAATGTAGTGCCCATCTTTAAAAAAGGGAAGAAGGAGGATCCTGGGAACTACAGGCCAGTCAGCCTCACTTCAGTCCCTGGAAAAATCATGGAGCAGGTCCTCAAAGAATCAATCCTGAAGCACTTGCATGAGAGGAAAGTGATCAGGAACAGCCAGCATGGATTCACCAAGGGAAGGTCATGCCTGACTAATCTAATCGCCTTTTATGATGAGATTACTGGTTCTGTGGATGAAGGGAAAGCAGTGGATGTATTGTTTCTTGACTTTAGCAAAGCTTTTGACACGGTCTCCCACAGTATTCTTGTCAGCAAGTTAAGGAAGTATGGGCTGGATGAATGCACTACAAGGTGGGTAGAAAGCTGGCTAGATTGTTGGGCTCAACGGGTAGTGATCAATGGCTCCATATCTAGTTGGCAGCCGGTATCAAGTGGAGTACCCCAAGGGTCGGTCCTGGGGCCGGTTTTGTTCAATATCTTCATAAATGATCTGGAGGATGGTGTGGATTGCACTCTCAGCAAATTTGCGGATGATACTAAACTGGGAGGAGTGGTAGATACGCTGGAGGGGAGGGATAGGATACAGAAAGACCTAGACAAATTGGAGGATTGGGCCAAAAGAAATCTGATGAGGTTCAATAAGGATAAGTGCAGGGTCCTGCACTTAGGATGGAAGAACCCAATGCACAGCTACAGACTAGGGACCGAATGGCTAGGCAGCAGTTCTGCGGAAAAGGACCTAGGGGTGACAGTGGACGAGAAGCTGGATATGAGTCAGCAGTGTGCCCTTGTTGCCAAGAAGGCCAATGGCATTTTGGGATGTATAAGTAGGGGCATAGCGAGCAGATCGAGGGACGTGATCGTTCCCCTCTATTCGACATTGGTGAGGCCTCATCTGGAGTACTGTGTCCAGTTTTGGGCCCCACACTTCAAGAAGGATGTGGATAAATTGGAGAGAGTCCAGCGAAGGGCAACAAAAATGATTAGGGGACTGGAACACATGAGTTATGAGGAGAGGCTGAGGGAGCTGGGATTGTTTAGCCTGCAGAAGAGAAGAATGAGGGGGGATTTGATAGCTGCTTTCAACTACCTGAAAGGGGGTTCCAAAGAGGATGGCTCTAGACTGTTCTCAGTGGTAGCAGATGACAGAACGAGGAGTAATGGTCTCAAGTTGCAGTGGGGGAGGTTTAGATTGGATATTAGGAAAAACTTTTTCACTAAGAGGGTGGTGAAACACTGGAATGCGTTACCTAGGGAGGTGGTAGAATCTCCTTCTTTAGAGGTTTTTAAGGTGAGGCTTGACAAAGCCCTGGCTGGGATGATTTAACTGGGAATTGGTCCTGCTTTGAGCAGGGGGGTTGGACTAGATGACCTTCTGGGGTCCCTTCCAACCCTGATATTCTATGATTCTATGATCAAATCCGCACAGACACACCCCTGGAACCCCGACCTGGGATATTCTATCTACTACCCAAGATCCATAAACCTGGAAATCCTGGGCGCCCCATCATCTCAGGCATTGGCACCCTGACAGCAGGATTGTCTGGCTATGTAGACTCCCTCCTCAGGCCCTACGCTACCAGCACTCCCAGCTACCTTCGAGACACCACTGACTTCCTGAGGAAACTTCAATCCATCGGTGATCTTCCTGATAACACCATCCTGGCTACTATGGATGTAGAAGCCCTCGACACCAACATTCCACACAAAGATGGACTACAAGCCGTCAAGAACACTATCCCCGATAATGTCACGGCTAACCTGGTGGCTGAACTTTGTGACTTTGTCCTTACCCATAACTATTCACATTTGGGGACAATGTATACCTTCAGATCAGCGGCACTGCTATGGGTACCCGCATGGCCCCACAGTATGCCAACATTTTTATGGCTGACTTAGAACAACGCTTCCTCAGCTCTCGTCCCCTAACGCCCCTACTCTACTTGCGCTACATTGATGACATCTTCATCATCTGGACCCATGGAAAAGAAGCCCTTGAGGAATTCCACCATGATTTCAACAATTTCCATCCCACCACCAACCTCAGCCTGGTCCAGTCCACACAAGAGATCCACTTCCTGGACACTACAGTGCTAATAAACAATGGCCACATAAACACCACCCTATACCGGAAACCTACTGACCGCTATTCCTACCTGCATGCCTCCAGCTTTCACCCTGACCACACCACACGATCCATCGTCTACAGCCAAGCTCTGCGATACAACCGCATTTGCTCCAACCCCTCAGACAGAGACAAACACCTACAAGATCTCTATCAAGCATTCTTACAACTACAATACCCACCTGCGGAAGTGAAGAAACAGATTGATAGAGCCAGAAGAGTTCCCAGAAGTTACCTACTACAGGACAGGCCTAACAAAGAAAATAACGGAACGCCACTAGTGGTCACCTTCAGCCCCCAACTAAAACCCCTCCAACGCATTATTAAGGATCTACAACCTATCCTAAAGGATGACCCAACACTCTCACAAGTCTTGGGAGACAGGCCAGTCCTTGCCTACAGACAGCCCCGCAACCTGAAGCAAATACTCACCAACAACCACATACCACACAACAGAACCACTAACCCAGGAACTTATCCTTGCAACAAAGCCCGTTGCCAATTGTGCCCACATATCTATTTAGGGGACACCATCACAGGGCCTAATAACATCAGCCACAGTATCAGAGGCTCGTTCACCTGCACATCCACCAATGTGATATATGCCATCATGTGCCAGCAATGCCTCTCTGCCATGTACATTGGTCAAACTGGACAGTCTCTACGTAAAAGAATAAATGGACACAAATCAGATGTCAAGAATTATAACATTCATAAACCAGTCGGAGAACACTTCAATCTCTCTGGTCACGCAATCACAGACATGAAGGTCGCTATCTTAAAACAAAAAAACTTCAAATCCAGACTCCAGCGAGAAACTGCTGAATTGGAATTCATTTGCAAATTGGATACTATTAATTTAGGCTTAAATAGAGACTGGGAGTGGCTAAGTCATTATGCAAGGTAGCCTGTTTCCTCTTGTTTTTTTCCTACCCCCCCTCCCCCAGATGTTCTGGTTTAACTTGGATTTAAACTTGGAGAGTGGTCAGTTTGGATGAGCTATTACCAGCAGGAGAGTGAGTTTGTGTGTGTATGGGGGTGGGGGGGACGTGAGAAAACCTGGATTTGTGCAGGAAATAGCCCGACTTGATTATGTAAAGAGTTGTCACTTTGGATGGGCTATCACCAGCAGGAGAGTGAATTTGTGTGGGGGGGTGGAGGGTGAGAAAACCTGGATTTGTGCTGGAAATGGCCCACCTGATGATCACTTTAGATAAGCTATTACCAGCAGGACAGTGGGGTGGGAGGAGGTATTGTTTCATATTCTCTGTGTATATAAAGTCTGCTGCAGTTTCCACAGTATGCATCCGATGAAGTGAGCTGTAGCTCACGAAAGCTCATGCTCAAATAAATTGGTTAGTCTCTAAGGTGCCACAAGTACTCCTTTTTTTTTTTTTGCGAATACAGACTAACACGGCTGTTACTCTGAAATCTAAACTGTCAATGCTCCTTCACTGAGGCAAGGAAAGGAGAACTTAGGATATCCCTGTCCAACACCTCAATTATCCCAGTTTTTTGTTCTTCAAACATTTCATTGTCTGTAAGCTGCAAGTAAGGGACTGTAGAGACTGTGCTGGAGGTTTTATTAGCCTGATAGAATTGAACAAAGGCCAGAAAATAGCCATTTCTTTTGCAATTGTTAAGGTTCCAGTTTGGGACAGTGAAGGGGTTTCCTGCAACATTTTTTTCCATTGTTGATACTCTAGGGATCTTCCCTTTCTCTGAATCAGAGTTTAAAATCACACATTTTTAAACGTTTCTTTTCATGGGCCCGCGTTCAAAAAATCAGAAGGAAAGGAAGCTGGAGAGAAAAATGAAGGTAACTGAAAACCAGACTTCAAGGACAAAAGCATTTCATTGCCTCTTGGAAGGAAAGGAAGATGACAAGCCCATGTTTTTTATATTTCTATATATACTAGAGTTTTGTGTTTGGTTATTCATTCTTGTGCTCTTTAAAAATTGGTTGACTCTTTTCTGTTGTAGTGCACTGTCTTCTTCTGTACAAACCAGCAAAGGAAACAATGGCAGCTGAAACCAGTGACCAAGTGATCTGTCAAATGAAAGATTACTACAGGTGCAGACTGAACTGCTTTGGCCATCAATTGGGAACTTTTGTTTACGACCCACTGCAATGATGATGTTGGACAACTTAGCGAATCTACGCTGGAATGTTAAGCACCTGTCCTGCCTCCACCTCCGTTGTTGTTGACTTTGCATCTATTGTAAAGCTTGCCAAGAGGAGAAACTGGAGAGGCCTATTGTGTTGCTTTCTAAAGAGCCATTTGGACAGATGGAGCCTAACATAGGAGAGCTCTTTACTTTATCAAACCTTAGCTGCTGGGAATGCCTGTTCCTTTCCTAGAAATTGCTGCCTACCTGAGGAGATCAGAGTAACAGCATCTGATGAAGTGAGCTGTAGCTCACGAAAGCTTATGCTCAAATAAATTGGTTAGTCTCTAAGGTGCCACAAGTCCTCCTTTTCTACCTGAGGAGAGAGAGAATGGGGAGGTAGATAACACAATGCACTTTGAGACTCTAAATGCTTCCCATTGTTACATGTTTGTATCAAGAGAAGGCTGAGCTGTCCTAAGCAAAAAGTGGAAGATGTAACTGAAACCCTAGGCTGTCCTCTTGGTTGCTATATTTTGCATACTAACAAGAAAGTGTAAGTGAAAGTGTGGAAAACCATTTAATCTATTCTCAAGCAAAGGGGCTGAAGAACTATGCATCTCTTGAAACAATTTGACTGCAGGATTAATCCTTTGAGCCTGTTGATCAAAGGGATTTATCCAAGGTAGCCAGTGCTCTTTTGCATTGGAAAGCCAGAGTTCTGCATTGTATTAGCTCTCTTGCACTATTCTCTTTAAAGTACTGTGGGGCTGTTAATGGGGGAGGAGACAGGTCAGAAACTACTGCCCTCAGCAGACATAAATCGGTGATTTAGAGCTGTAAGGTGCTTTCTTCCATTTCAGTCTCATGAACCATCTGGTCTTGATTAGCTTCATGTGCCAGTGTGTAAACTTTCCAAGGCAGCTGTCATTTAAAAAAAAAAAAAAAAAAAAGGAAGGGTAACCACCTTTCTGTATACAGTGCTATAAAATCCCTCCTGGCCAGAGGCAAAACTCTTTTACCTGTAAAGGGTTAGGAAGCTAGGATAACCTTGCTGGCACCTGACCAAAATGACCAATGAGGAGACAAGATACTTTCAAATCGGGAGGGGTGGGGGAAACAAAAGGTTCGTCTGCCTGTGTGATGCTTTTGCCAGGAACAGATCAGGAAAGCAGTCTCAGAACTTCTGTTAGTAAGTAATCTAGCTAGAAATGCATTAGATTTCCTTTTGTTTAAATGGCTGATAAAATAAGCTGTGCTGAATGGAATATATATTCCTGTTTTTGTCTTTTTGTAACTTAAGGTTTTGCCTAGAGCGATTCTCTTGATTCTTTTGAATCTGATTACCCTGTAAGGTATTTGCTATCTTGATTTTACAGAGGTGATTCTTTTACCTTTTCTTTAAATTCTTCTTTTAAGAACCTGATAGATTTTTTTCATTGTTCTTAAGATCCAAGGGTTTGGGTCTGTGTTCACCTGTACAAATTGGTGAGGATTTTTATCAAGCCTTCCCCAGGAAAGGGGGTATAGGGCTTGGGGGGATATTTTGGGGGAAGATGTCTCCAAGTGGTCTCTTTCCCTGTTCTTTGTTTAACACGCTTGGTGGTGGCAGCATACAGTTCAAGGCAAAGTTTGTACCTTGGGGAAGTTTTTAACCTAAGCTGGTAAAAATAAGCTTAGGGGGTCTTCCATGCACGTCCCCACATCTGTACCCTAGAGTTCAGAGTGGGGAAGGGACCTTTGACAGCAGCTCATTCACTTTTAAGAGGGAGTGAAAGTGTTGCTATGAAGTCTTACATCACCACTTTGTGCAGAACATTTCTTTTGGTTCTTTTGTTTCATTAATGAAGTAACAGTTTCACTCTGTGAAGCAAGTTGAGATGCATTCCCAGGGTTATGACAGCAGCTTCAGAAGACTCTTCCGTTTTTGTTTGCACTTGTCCACACCAGCACTGTAAAAACCAGTGCAATATTTACTGTCCCTGATAACCAAATGGGCATGGGCGTAGTTTGCAAAAGTCAAATAGAGATAACGATAGCAGTAGTAAGTGTGAGGAGTACTTACTGATAGGTTAAAGTGACATCCACCCAAAATTTAGGTTTATAAAACTTCTTATTGGTAGAAATTCTTTCATGACTTTACAAAAATAAACAAGCCAGGGCCCTCTGTGCTTGAAAATGAGACTCTGTATCTTCTAACCTCTGCATAAAGACTTTCCCAAATTAGGCACTCTTTCCTTCCCAGAGTGAAAGGGATTCCTGCCAAGAACTGCAGGTGAGCAGATCTGAGACTGTGTTAAAACATGCATCTCTTGTGCCTAGAATGCTCACAGTGAAAGGTGAGTGTTTAAGGCTAGGTTCCTTTCTGAACAGTGTCCGTTACCAGATTATTTGAAACCCTGTTTATTAGTGGGAGTCCCGTTCATTTCTGAACTGTCCTGCCCTTTACCTTTTCTCTATGCTGGGAAATAATTCCATGCACAAAGGGGATAGAGGAACTGAGCTGTTTAGAGGAACTGAGCTGTTTGGGGTTTGAAGTGCTTAGGGTTTTGCAATAGCTCTGCCATTAGAGACTGATGTATTGAAACTCCCCTTTATGTTAAGTGCTTGGGATAAAGCTAGAGGCTTTGCTCCATCCATAGTGTGTGAGCCAGCCCATGCTGGAGGGTACATTGAAGGAAATGGGTTTTGCAGGTGTTACGGGGAATAGATTCTGTCTGGCTCACATCTCCACTGGAAAGAGAATTTGGCCTGCAGAATCTATCTCGATTCTCAGATCCCAGGGGTAACAGTGGGGGCCAGGAATGACTCTCTACTTGCAAACTGAGCAGGTTTTACCGGGAAGAATTGAGATCTTTTAGACATAGCACCACAATGTCATTTACTCATTTGTCAGAGTATAATCACACTCATTAGTGAGCTAAACACATTTCGAACTGTTAGCTGAAGTTGTTCAAATGGCTATCTCCTACATACACTGGCTTACTAGTAATGTCAGTCTGTGACATCACTCCTTCCTGTTGGAACAATGTCAGGGGACACTGAAATTGGATGGATGTGGGTTCTGTGTAGGATGGGACAAGAATTTCAGCTAAGCAAAACTCTGAGGAATCCCTGCATTCTTCACTAAGGTGCCACAAGTCCTCCTGTTCTTTTTGCAGATACAGACTAACACAGCTGCTATTCTGAAACTAGTAAAAGAATGGGCACATTTCTGTCCCAAAACCAGGCCTACATTGGAGATGCTCCAGAACTGCAAGTGCCTAGCACTTCCTTCAATATACCCCCAGTTCTTGATTTGGGCTTATATAACCTGTAAGGTGCACTATATGATATGGCTTTTATAGTAGCTTGTATCGGGTTCAGCCATTCTGGGAGTGTTTCAAACTGTTGCTCTCATTTCTGACTACTTATGGTTAGACAGGGCCCCTCTGTTAAATCTCCTCCTACAGTTTTTGAAGGAGGATGCTACAGAAGGGAAAAGAGGCATTTTGTTTTTCCACCAGTGTGCTTAGTTTGGGAACTGATCCCTCTAGTTATCTTAAATAGCAATTCCCTGCCTTAGTGTAGTAGGTTCTGCAGCTAAACCAAATTGGGGCAGCTGCAGAGGGAAAGGGAGTGTGGGAGGGGCGTGAAATCCCTGTATGTACACACTTTTTCTAGAGATTTTGGTATTATGTACGGTTTCAGAGTAACAGCCGTGTTAGTCTGTATTCGCAAAAAGAAAAGGAGTACTTGTGGCACCTTAGAGACTAACCAATTTATTTGAGCATGAGCTTTCGTGAGCTACAGTTCACTTCATCAGATGCATCATGCATTATGTAATCTTCAGACCTATTTTCTTCTTGGAAGCAATGTTCAGCTGAGAGCCTTCAATGTTATGCTGCATTCCTAATGTGTGTATCATCGTCCTAATATCAGTGACGAACCAGCTTTGTAATAGCAGTTTCAAATCAAGAAACTGAAAGTTCAGGCAGATGAAGTAGTCTTGCCTGACCTAGGCAGCGCACAAGATGCCTAGCGTTGCATGCTAACCTGATGTCTGTGTGGTACAGTGAGGAGCCAGGAGAAAGTTGGCTGTAACTTCAAATCTCCTCCCTCTCTGTAGTTTGTCACAGCTTTAACTTGATGCCAGTATATGACTGCATGAATCTCTACTAATTGTAGTCAATATAGCGACCCAGAACACTCGGATAACTATCCAAATGGAACTGTTGCTCTAAATGTATATTTGCAATGGGGGTTTGGTGTATGGGGTCTGTCCCCAGGATCCCACGTAATATTTTTTTGGGGGCGGGGGGGTAGCAGTCACTGCTGTGCCAAAGTTCCCGTCTGTTTTGGTCTCACTTCTGTGAAGGGCAGGATGCATTCAACCCGGAGAACTAACACTGTTCTCCAGGTTGGCTTTAAGGGATTGCTGAGAAGTGATGAGGCTTCTCCACAAAGCCACTGAGCATACTGTCTGCAGCCGTCTCGCCGTGATAGTCCGAGGAGCACAGGGCTGAATTTGGGATCCTTTTCCAGCCCTGACTGGTGGGAAGCCTGCCCTCCCTGCCTTTAGTGCTGCCAAGGGTGGGTTTGTTAAATAAATGCACATTGTACATACACAGACTTACAAAAAACTTATTGCAGCTGTTGTATGTGTGATTTTTCTAGATCTTATAAAAGGAAGAAAGGAAAAGTCCAGGTCTATGTGGCATGTGGGATTTGCTATCTTGTATGAGCCTTAGCTAACAAGCTTTATAAGTTCCTTGAACATGCATATGCTTTCCCTGCATGTCATCTCTCTCCTGAAGTTGCAAGCCTGTTTTTTTTTTACTGGGAGTTCTCAGTGTATAATTTTTCAGTTATCTTTGTTAAAATCTTTCATTTTCTAGACCAAGTGAGGTCTAAAGAAAGAAACAGGGGCTGTGTGCATGCTCCTGCAGAGTCTCTCACTTCAGCTATTTGAGCTTTAGGCCTAAGTGCCACTAGATATTTCGGAAATGGAAGTTTTTTTAATCTTGCATAACACAAATGAGTGAAGGGATTTTGCTTAGTTTAACCCCTCAAGCCCGGTCTCCGTTACCTCCTGGAGAAACTGAGCATGGAAAATCTCAGCTTGCATGGTGAATTTTGCAGAAAGCTGTGTGTGTAAGGTTTGCAGTCTTTTAATATAGCATTTAATGTACTGAGAATTTTTTAAAGGTGTTAATTGAATTGAGGGTATAATGGCACCTTGCAGCTTGCTCTGTGTTGATGCTTGTTCCCAACCCCCAGTCACTGGGTACCAAATTTCAGTACAGAGTTTTAACTGCTA